TTTTTTTTTTTGCATTTAAATATTTAATTTACAACATACTAGGTAGTGCTAATCCATGTTTATTACATTAAAATATAGAAAACTGTCGATTGATATCATTATTAATTTTATTGTCATGCTCGCTAAACTCACAAGAAAAATTACGTACTATTGTAATTTCAATGCAATGGACCGATTTTTAATATATTTAATTATTTTGCAAGTCATCTTTTTAAGCGCGTTTGTTAATTAAACCGCTAGTTTGCCATCAGCTACACTCATTCAAAAAGCGAGATTGATTAACATCTTTTGAGCAGTTGTTTTGCTTCTCTTTTAAAGGTATAAATTTATAAGCTAGTGGTTTTCGCAATGACGATAAGAAGAAATACTAAATTTTCTAAAAATGTTTTATTGATACATTGAGCACATATAAACTAGTTCGCTAAAATATCTAAATAGTGCAATATCGTTTTATATAAATAAAAGTAATTAATCTGCAAGTTTTTCGTGAATACAATGAAAAATGTTCTAAATTATATAATAATGTATGTTTACGTTTACATACGCATATTTAAAAAAATAAAGAAAAAAGCACAACGAGCAATTGATATATACATACATTTTAAGTTCAAAGTGTTTTAGCTCTAACTATAATTGTAATATACATACAATGGACACACTCATTTTTCATAGTCATGGTTTATTATAGCGATATCTTAACTTTTCCGAAGGTTCGCAATATTCCTTAATAATTAGTTTACATAGGAACGCATGAAATACTATAATTATTGCACAAATAGATACCCAGAAAAGTGTAGGCAAACCGCCTAATTGATGACCATGCCTATGTAACGCAATTAGATGTTGCTCATGTGCAGGAGCTAATAGCATAAAAAAGTTAGAATACTTTCAAATTAACTTTTTGTTATGCATGCAATTTATACATACCTTCGGCTACTTCTTTAACGTGTATAGCTTTGTGGAGCTCCTCCATGTGTTGTTTATCTTCTGTAATATATAAAATCGCAGTAAGTGGTTCGGTCAATTTTACCGGAAATTGGCGGCGACTTTGACTGCAAGCATATAAAGTTCGTTATTTAAGAAAAGAACATTTCTACTTCCCAATTGTAAAGAGCTCACGTAAGCAAAACTGGTTCATCCAAGCAACCGCCGTCGCAGGCATAATAACTACGATCTGAACGGTCAAGCGCTACATTAATTACCGCTTTATTATCGTCGGTAACTGTGATGGAAACATTTAGATGCGTTTTATTGCCATAATTCAAGCGACGAAAGTGAAAGTCGCGATGCAGATACTTTGGATGCATATTACACTCCAAGTGTTGATTGCTGAAACGAAAACTGCCAAAGCTCAAAACCATAGCTTGTATTAGACCTGAGGCGCCTGCACGTATCAGATTGTGGCAACCCTGCAATTAGTAGTAGGAAGTTTGTTACTTGCTTTATATTCATATGGGGTGATTTATTTGTTAGGCGCGCTCCCCCTTACCTGTTTCTCCAAAGTTACCATCCATGATGATACCAAATTGTTCAGTTTTTCCAAAGATTCTGCACTCAACCAAAGATTTTCCGCTTGTAACGTGTAATATGAATCATAACAGCCTTCGGCATAAGTCAATGCCTTGGCTATTTCTTGTTTACTAGGCGGATTTCAACGAAACAAACTCTTCATATTCATAGCTGCGTGTTTGAGATAGCACTGCGTACATGAGGCATTAATACGATCACCGTTCAAACTATTCTCCGCTTTAGATGTGCTAATACTGAAGCCTGTGGCCCATAAATCAGACCAAACGTTAACATGCTCTTGAGCGAAATGTGTGCGTATTTATTTGTGTGTCTGGTTTGTTTTGTAACTTTTGCAAAACTTTTGTCATAGCCTGTACAGCCTTGTTTTCAACATCTTGTGCTGCTTCCGAAAATTTGTCACGCGTGATAGGCTGTAGAATAATGTACAGCGATAGGAAATACTATGGTGATAGCACCACGCTTCTTCAGCTGCACAATGCGGTTCATTTGTGGTTTAACGACGCTCACTATAATAATACTAGAGGGATCGTCAGCATTGACTAAAATGGTGCCAGTGGTTACCTCAAAATCTCTAAGTACAGTTGATTGTGTTGATGAACTGCAAAGTGATACTTATTTATTATAAGCACTGTCTTAGTGCGGTAACGTGTAATATTATACTTACCCTAATTTAATGGCATGTGTAGAGGGTGTTTGAAAATAAATACGTGGAAAAATTAGTTCCACTTCCTCTATAGTATTTTTAGTATTTGTTATCTTAATTTCCTGCATTAAGATGCTCGGATGTGTACGGTGTGCGTAATAGGTATAGGCAACAAAGTAATTTGAAAAACATTGGAATCTAGTTGAAGAGAAAAAAATTTTTTACTGCTAATGAATGCCCTTCTGCAATGCTTACCTATGCACAACTCCAGACAGGTACTCAACCACCGTCGCTTCCCGCCCAGCTTCATTGCGTTGCGCTACCGAGACAACCGGGTGAAATTGCATAGGCAATTGCATAGAACGACCGGATTTGATGATTCAAGGAGGCGTCATGTGCCACTTCCATGCCAATGTAGCCATTGCCTACGTAAGGATAGAAATTACGTTCTCCAGGCAGCGGTGGCACATGACGTATATTGGCATCGAATTCATAGTTTTGCAGAAAAAATGGAGTTAAGCGATCATCCATGCACTGCACATGTGGATCTGGGAAGTGCAATAAATTAGCACATAATAGACGAAACATACATAGATATGGAAAAACATGAAAACTCACCCTTTACTTCCGGCGCACTCATAAACAGATAGCGAAAAACTGGTGGCAAAATATAGAAAAAAACGCATACCCCCAATAGAAGCAGAAATATCCGTCGATAGGACAGGATGCTGCCATCTGCTATACGTTTAAGCTTCCTCTTGAATTCGCCTAAGTCGAATTTGTTGGATTTGTCAGTCCGAAACATATCGCATTTGTGTAACTTTATTGTTTAACCAGTCGAAAGATTTTGGGCTCAAGATCGATTTTGTTGCGCTCGCACCTTGGTATGTATATTTGTTGTGTAAACAGACGAAATGCTTCCCACGCTACTGGTCATACACACTTATCATTTGTTTTATTTTTGTTTTACACTGCACCACCGGTGATCGAGCCTATATACTGCAATGTAAAAAAAAACTGCACATGATGACCAATTTGACAACAAATCTTTATCAGTACAAGGCACATTAGTCTGCGTTCAGACACGAAAACTCGAGTTGTTGTTATCGGCGATTTCTCTTTTGGTGCTGCCAGTCGCCAGTTGGTTTCGTTGACATCCTAAAGTGACGCCATTTCGTCTTGAATGACATTCCCTTGTATTAGTGTAGAGACAAAAATATCCAATCAGCTGTTCAATCAACACCACCCTGTATTGATGCGCTTTGACACAAAGCGTGCTGCCCGAGTACGAGCAACTCGATACCCGTCCTCTTTCCTCGGCGCTCTTTCCGACACAAACTTCGAGTTGCCGCAACAAAAGTTTCCGTGTCTGAACATGGACTTAATATGCCTTGTAGCAGTCAAACTTTCTCATTCACCCATATTTTCCATTTTAATTTAACACGTTCTTAATTACTTTTACCAGGAACTGTAACGGTTTGTAATAAAAAATAAAGTTCAAACGTTCAAATTGGGTGTATATATTTCCGATCAAATTTAGCCGTTACTTAATATTTTTTTGATCAATTTTTATTTCATCGATCATGTCAGAACCGTTATTGTCAGATTTAATTTTATAGAAAATATAAGCTATTTGTTTTTGTTATTTTTTGGCCTTATAACAATTATATTCAACAATTTATATTGAGCTCGAGGCCGTTTTTTTAAATGAAATAGCTATCACTTCTACCATTTTTGCAAATTATTGTTGCTTTTCCACAATAAATTTTCATTAAAAAAAAACGGCCTCGAACTCAATATAAATTGTTGAAAATATAAGATTTAAATCGGTCCTATAGACGCAGTCNATCCAAAATGAGGATTATTTTTAATCGAAAAAATAAAAATAACAAAATAACTGTTAAATCTGACCAAAGAACGTAAATTTATAATAAATCTAAATCTTATTGATCTGAAAAAATCTCGATTTCAAACTATGTATGTATACTTTTGATCCCCGGAATTTACTGGTTGAATTTTATATTTTGAGCCCATATTCAGCTAATAGAATCTGGGTTAAATTATAATTTACATAGATGGGAAAAAATTATTATTTTTTAATTTATTTAATTTTTGTAAAAATATTAGTTATGTGCTTTAAGCTTAGAAAATATACCAGTTAGCAAACAAATAGACCTCAAAACCAGCCACTTTTAAGGCAAAACCAAACTATAAAAACCGATTTCAGTTTCGAAGAAATACATACATTTAAAAATAATTTTTTTTTGTGAGAAAAAAATTCATAAATAAATTTTTGCTCCTGAGCTTAATTAAAACTCTGAACGTAAATATTTGAGGATTTTTAGGTACCGGGAGTCCATACATGTAGCAAACAATGTGCTGTTGCCTTTTATACTCGAATATGCTTTGGTCAAAAAAACTTTTGTATTGACGTAAAAAATTTTCTTCAAAATTAATTTTCCACACCATCCCTACAACGCATTTTGACGTTTCCAAACATTTCCATTTTGACATTTTTTGTACTGTACTGCCTTTTTTTTGACAAATAAACATTAATGGCTGCCAATCTCGAATGAAGAAGCAGCATCAGTGAATTTTTCGCTCCAATTTGCAAAAACTTTTGACAAAATTGTTTTCCAAAGTCAAGTGTGTGTTTAAAAACAATTTGCAAAAACGCAGCGTGGATAATATTCGTGCAGGATGTGGCCGCAAGCGTTGCAAATGACTAGAGACGAGTGTCGGGGCATGTTGAGAAGACTTGGTAAGAAAGTGGCAATCCAACGAAAAAGCACTGGTGCATCAGGAACTATAAGCGACCGTAGTGCAGCACCCGTCGCTCAAAAGATGATCCTGTTTTTTTGGATTCATGTGTTTTATGATTGTGCAACGTTTACTAACTATTGAACTTTGTTAATTGTACTATTTGCAGAGCTGGAATCATATTCGCATGTGATTAGTGTGTTTCGCGCTCAGGGTGGCCTCAGCGAAAACAAGGCCAAACTTCTTGAGGAGTTGCGTGGCATATTTCACATCTCGCAAGAGCGTCATCGTGCTGAAGCGCGTCGTGTTGCAAACGATGAACAATTGTGTACCATTGCAGAGGCGTAAGTGTTAAGGAGATTTCATTCGCACAGTTACGAAATAAGATGAAAATTTAGTGTAAACTATAGTGCCT